ATTGGGTTACGATTATTTTCCATAGTTATCCCAAGTGTATACGGCTTGTCAGAAATAATCGCTATCTTCGTCCGACTTTTGATACTCGGCGATGGACGAAGATAAGACGAAGTTAGAGGGTACAGTATGCAGGACCTTCACGTGTGATTTTTTTTTCTAGCGCTCTACTACTAGTATTTTGCTTATTCTTATTGCCTGTAAATCGATTAAGCGGTTAGCTTCTCTATGATGCACACTGTTGTTTTAAGTAGATAAAAAATCGATTGCAAAATGTATTGATGGTCCCTGATTGACAAGTTAATCATGTTAAGTGTGGTGGGAGCACGTCAACCTGGAATCTCATGAAAAAATAAGTTTTGCGTCAAACGCGAACCTAAGCACGAACTACGATTTAAGCACACCATTCAAAGAGCGGCATCTCGTCCTCAAAATTGTGGTATGTTTGAAGTCAATACTTTTCAGTTTTGTTTAGCGTATTATCGGTATATGATTGTAAAATATAATTTAAATAAAAATGTTTTTCCATCTTTGTATGTGCAAAATGTGCAGTAAAAAATAAGAAGTTCGCTTAGGTGCGAAAATGGCATGGAAAAAAAAACATTAAGATGCTGATGGCGCGCCAGACTTTTTCAAGGCTTTTGCTTTTAAAGCTGATTTACACCCAAGAATGGACGTGGTTTCATGTCGACATATACTGCTAATTAAACCATTTGATTTTGCTCTCATTCCCTTAAATTCAAAAAAACCTAACCAACCTTTTTTCCCTAAAAAAACAAGCCCCCCCAATGGAAAAAAACAAAAAAAAACCAGGGGAATGTGTCGGTATTCTTCAGAAAAAGGTTGTCGGATCTGTTTGGAAACAGGGCTTGTATCTACTCTGACAACCACTGATGTAATAGAGACTTGAGTGCAATTATAACTGTTCTTTCTCCAATTATCTCCCGACATCCCCTAATACACATCATTGTGTATCGGAGATTTCGTATCGTTTTAAAGATATCTGTGGTACAGCCAAACCTTATCCGTAACACGGAGGGGTACGGGCAACCGACTCATTGGATCGGTTGGTTATGGTTGGCCGAATCTACCGGATGATTGTCGTTACTCTTCCTGTTACAAGTGTTTTGCTCGAGGCTTGTACCGTTCGCTCTACTACTGTAGTGCGAGCACATGATGCTAACATCTTATTTATTCCAGAAATATTGGAAAACAAGTCATTATACATGTTGCTATTTTATTGCCATAAACGTGTTTTTTTTTCGGGAAACCGAACGCTACGTTTGGCTGGCCTTGGTTTACTGAACGACTCTTACGGTTGGTCATGGTCATCCGAAACTTGTGCACAAGGATTTTCGGACAGGTATGCCTAATCGAAAATTTGAGTTGATGTATTCTAACTATTCCTGGTTAAAGGGTTCAATTCAGGGATTCCTCTCCAGGGGATTGCAAATCGATTGCAAGTTTTGCACTTGCTAACACAACATGTACAGCACAGAGGTCCAAAGTCGTTCCTAAAAGTAGTCTGGGATGGACTTCTTGGATGCGCAAGGGATAAACTGTGCATTTTTTCGAAGTCTTGCATCATGGGATCCATGGTGACCCACTATCACTGGTAGTCTACCAGTGGGGCTGAGGCTCAGTCTAACACCTTCCCGCTGAGCGAGACGGGCCCAAAATCATTAGGGACGCGGAAGACGACGCCCACGACATCCATTCCTATACAATCATCAAGAGATCATAAGCCCTACATCGGAGCTGCTTCCGTGCCGGCGTGAACCGCCGACTGCCCGTGAGTGCGCTCAGACGCTTAAACGACCGTGATCTCGCCACGTTGCTGTCGGGCGAGTGTGTGCACTGCTCAAACGAACACGTTTCGCTACTAATTTATGCTTCCCAAATGAGTTCAAACAGCGCACAGCGGGACGCGACGGGATATCGTCCACAAAGAGGGCACGCTTGTCCCTCACTCACGCATTTTTAATGACGAAACCCTGTGGTTTGTGTAATGCACAGATTTATTTTTACAGTGCCAGTTAGTTATCTTGAAGAGCATAAGCCTGACTTTAATGAGCAGATATAACGGGTACATTAGTTTAAAGGTACCTAGAGACAAGATGCGGTGCAGTCGTGTATACGGTACGGTTGGTTGCAAGTGCGGTGCAGTCGTGTATACGGTACGGTTGGTTGCAAGTGCGGTGCAAAACAGCTAGCACGTGCTGTCAGTTTGTGATTCACGCATCCAGCTAACAAGTCGGCACCACCTCCACTTGTCGGTGATCGATAATGGCGTGGGAGCTCTTCGTGCTGGTTGGCACCGCGATAACTCTCGTAAATATACTAGCAACGTCATCACTTGCTACTTCGATTGCTCTGGACGACAAGAATATCGACACAAGTGGGCGATTCTTACGGGTGGTAAAGAACGATGAAGAAAGAACGGTTGCCTCGGCTGAGACTATCACGAGCTTGGTCAAAAGCAAGAGCGTGATAAACACGCTGGTGGACACGCTGCCGTCAAAACTGGCAGAAATCGAAAAGAAGTACCCCATTGTGATCCCTGGTGTATCCCAGGCCTACATTAAAGTACGACTGAGGCTCGCGTACTCGAGCAGGACTCCCCCAACGGAGATTTTCAGATTCCTGGGACTTCGCGGTCATCATGGAGAGCGACTCAAGAATCATCCGTTCTACAAGTACTACGAGGCGTATTTCAACAAGTGGAAAAACGCGCAGAAGCACCTCAGCATCAGATGATGAACTGTTTTTATTATTTAATAGCATGAGATAAATGTCCGTGGACACGACCTAGTCACTGGATAACGAGACTTAACAGGAGTTATTTCAACACAGCTAACAAAGCTGGTACGTGAACTGCAGTATAATGCTATGAATTAAACACAACAACGTAGAATTTCGAGTAGAACGCACCACCTCAGAAGGAGCAAGTCGGAAATCTGACATGTGAATCAATGCTTTGCACATTTTTACATTAATTCCTAGCAGCACACTAGCCAGTATACTCCCTGAACCAACAGTCCACGGATTGTTTTTATAGGAACTGCTCGACGGCTTCGAAAATACTGGCATCTCGGGAAAAGTATGACAAGTAGTTGCTAATAGCAGCGACCGGTATTGCTGAGAAATAAAAAAAAATACGGGATCTACGGATTGACCAGTTCAATAAACACCATTTCAAACCATTTATTTAAGGAAAAAATACCTCCAATTAACAATGCATGGTAGTCGCACACGCCGCCCTACGAGATCATAGTCATCGTGATATAGAATCTTCTGGACGGTTTCCCGATGTTTACAGATGGAAGACGGTTTATCCGGTGATCAGGAAGCGATAACACCCAAGCTAATCATCGACCTCAACGTCTCTCCATAAGAGACTCGTGCAAAGGTAGCGTAGAGCAATCATTTTGGTTTTATCCTTGCATCTAGAAGCAGCTACCCACCGCTCCTCACCCAAAAAAGGGCTTCATCCACCTCAATACTAGAGCCGGACTAGCATGACTGCGCCCCCATCACTTGATGTTGACGGAAATAGTTATTTAAACTGAAATAGATTCTAGTTGCTTTTTGCAGTATTAGAAACTAAACGTAAGCAAGGAGCGGTGGGTAAATAGCACATTTTACTGCAGCTAGAAGTACATATAATAATGTCAACTCTATATATCAACTGCAGCGAACAACAACAAGGAAGAAAGTTATTAGAACCCTGCTGATTTATAGAAACATTGGATTATGCATTGTTTACTTAAGCATGGACAAATCGGGCATTGGTGCATCGGAAGATAACGCAATGACTCATTGCGAAGCCGACTGACAAGAATAAAGTTATATGCGTCATACACGCGCGAGTTCTAGAATTTGCAGATTTCTAAATGATGAAACTAGTACAAGAAGGCGGAAGAGCTTTCACCTTGAATCTAAATATGCAGAATTGCGACCGATTCGGCGTTTCCACTGCTGCGCCGGAATCCAGAGCAATCGATGATGTTTACTCTGATATCGGTGCCACTTCTTGATGTAAAACAATTACTCCGTCACTACTTTAATAATATACCCACATCCGAACTTCCACCAAAGCTGTTAAACAAGAACTCTTTAGGCAAGACGCCTGAAGTGGGCGAGTACACGTTCGAAATTTATCGTGTCTAACGTCAAGCTTAGTATGAACTCGCCAATGTTAAACGGGTCATCAAACACTAGTGTTTCTATATATAATAGATCTTCCACCTGCGGTCTGCAGGCGAGGATGCTGCGTAACTTGTATTATTGTAACTGCCTCGGATGTCGTCATAACCGCAACAAATAAAAAAAAGATTCTTTTTTTTTGACAAAAATAACACTGAATATTGTTCGCGGACCTAATTAAGCTGTGTGTTCCCGTCCATTGACAATTGAACATCCGTGTCACCAACTCTGGGGAGTTATGCGTGGGTCCTTTTTTCTTCATTCCGGTTCACCTGCACGAATATTCAGATCTAGGTGCCGAGGTTCATAGCTTGTTTTTATATCGTTACTTCATTGCCGTTTTATTAATTGAGTTCCCAATTATATGACCACGTAGAGCTTTTCCTAAGAAAAAATGGACCTCATTTGATGTGTTGAATGAAGGCCATATCGTTAATGTTCTATGTATATTACATTCACAATGGAAATTACAAAAGTATCGTATATCGGATGATACAGCTCTCGTGTTTCTGGTTGTGTGTTGACTAATGATGGACAATGACGCAAAAAATAGATTAGCTAAACAACCCGCGTGTATAGCGTATTGCAGGTCGATATTCCAATTGTGAATGGTTCACTAACGTGGGTTATTGAGATGTTTACGGCAAAAACAATCGTACCCCCACCGTCAAACAATACATCATGATATGTCCAGATTTTCTATCTCCTACCCTCAAATTAGTTTGCTAGCTACAGTAAAGACTAAAAGAAAAGATGTAGGCACCATCATTATCAAAAATCTACCTTCGCTCTACCGGTGCCAAAAACGATGGTGCCGATCCATTAATAGAGCACGATTCACATGGTAAACACTCTTTGAGCCACGAATTAAAGTCTTACGAACATATGTAAGGACCGGATAAGGTACGTTGAAGGTGGTAAACAATCGATTAAAAGATCGAATCAAGGCAATCGACTACATATACAGACAGCATGGAGCACACCCACTGTAGACCTTAAGGCGATCTATTAGCTCCAAGCCAAATGTTTACTATGTAGAGCGATACCACATCTACAGTACCTGCAACGCTGCTTCGTGTGGCTCAAGACTTGCACATATGTTGGCCGTATTCAGTCCTATACTTGGATGGAGTACGGCTTGACATCCTCGTCCTATACTTCCACTCGAATAGAGTGTAAGCCTCACCGAGGTGACATCCGTTCAGCCAACTCCATTCAAGTTTTTTCCCTCCGAGGCCAGCATGATGAAAGACGGGCTTACTGTTACCCCGTTTCCACAATTGTGCGTGTCGAATACCGAACGGCAAGAAATGATCGATCTCGTCGACAACTACGTGGAGGACTACATCGATAAGTACAAGGACTTTGTCGTAAATGACAAATGCAAAGTGAACAAGCGACGATGGCAGCATGTCAAGTCCCGAGACAAGTTACACGTATACGCTAAGCGCACTCCAAGAGGTCTCGGTCGAAGAAGTTCAGTACTACGAGCCTCCCGAAGGTCAAGCCAGCGACACAATACAACCGCGAAGGATATGTCTGTGCTTCTTGGCGTTGGCACATTCGCTGGAGAACTCGAAGACCTCATGTTTGGGGTCTTAAGTCCAACTCTGGACTCAATGCGCATCAAAGCTTCGTATGTACAAGACTTCGACAACGCTGCTGTGTTGTGTTCAGTGGTGGAACCTAGCAAAGAGGAACCATTCCAGTCTTTGGTGATTAAATGGATGTCAATCGACCCTCCGCTACAATCTGCCAAACTCTCCAAGAGCAGAGATTTTGTCTTCATCGAGGCTACAGGAATCGTAGAATTCGAGGACGGAGACTGTGTCGGTTATCATTTTTTACACTCTGTCGACTTTCCTAAGACAGGACTTCTGCCGAATAAAATACGCGGGAATTTATCGGCCTTCAGCTGCTTCCGACAAATTGGTCCCAACACAATTGGTAATTTTGCGTGTGCGACTGTCGATCCTGGAGGTGAAGCAATACGGTATCTTTTGACTTCCGTTGTGGCGAACTTCCTTCTTTCCGCTACGAATTACGTGTACTGTGGGCAGATGAAGAAGTTGGCGTGGCTATTGCAGCATCGACGTTCGGTATTTCAGCGCTCGGAGAAAGAACGGAACAGGAAACAGTGTGTTGTTTGTAGGAAGAATACCGGCAATGTCATCGGAAGCATTGGCCGGAGAGCGTGCAAGTTGTGCGGCGGGGATGTGTGTTATTCGTGCAAGATTCATCAACGTCTCAGCTTTCTGTCGCTGAGTGGCGAGTTGGTCCAGCGAAAAGTTGTATTCTGTGGGATTTGTGTTAGTGCCTCAACGTATATGGATGTGTGGGAGCCGGCTACTCACGATGCCAAAGATTTTGAAGCGCGTTCGGCATTTACAACGTCCACGGCGTCTTCGACGTATACTTTTCTGGACTCCTTAACATCCTCACTCGATGAAATAGAGCTGTAAATGTGCAAAGCCGCATAAAATACTAATAATAATTTTGGTGCACCCATAATATTTATGAATGTTAAAAATATTTTTTTTCAGACGACTATAATTTGCATGTTGTCTATGAGTTGCTTTCTAAAATTACAATTATTCAATTATGCTAAAGACGGTCAAGGTGGGCCGCGCGAGATTTACAATGGCAGTGAGTTGATATTGTGTTTCGTTTTATAAGGTCAAAATAAAATGCTATTGTTATAATATTTATGTTTTTCGCGTTATGGATAATACGGATATAACACTGTCAATTCAAACATTTACAGTACAGCTCGATTTTTAAAGTATCGGCGAGGGGCTGTTTTTTCTATAAGACATTTATTCGAATTCTCTGTTCATCGAAGATGTACCGATAACTGGCAAATTGAGATATTAATACACCCCGTTCGTTCTCGCTGTCATCATCCAACCTGGATATACGAATTAGAAGCAATAAACTCAACGCTGCTTTACAGATCGGGCTTATCCACTAGGACATGTGATTTATACTGGTACTCCATATCACGCTCAATGTGAGAATTTCTCCATTCTACGCTACCTCAAATATACCTTATGTTACTATCACCCAACACCTTCGGCTTCTGATTTGGTGTACTATTGCTCGGTTAACTACAATAACCAAGCAATATCTTGCATTAGGTCCTTTGATCACTTCGCAATTCGAACCCAAGAGCTCAAGTCATCTAGACCCTCGACGCGTAAGAAAGCGTGATTTTTTTTAACACCATTCTCCTGGTTATTGCTGTTCTCATCGTCAGAACAAAGCCATTTCGGGTTTCGAGCACAGCAAGCCTTTGAAAGGCACTTCCGCCGATGTCGTTCCCATTGCTGACGAAAACGAAGCGCATTCCAAACGCTTCATGACAACTGAATGGTGCTGGGAGGAAAGTAGCATAGTTTTTTTTAAAAAGTGTTTAAACCCAATTTTAAAATACTTCGGTTTCCTTTCGCGTTTTTTTCAAGGTAATTGTCCAAGCGGGCGGCCATCTTAAATGTAAGACATACAAAGCCAATTGCAAGTGATGGAGGCGTGTCAGACAGACAGCTTTTTGTCTTCTATAGTGTTTGTGGTCTTGTGTATTTGAAAATACAAGACTTCAACACGATTGATGTCCAGTTCAGGAGCCGGCATGATTTTGGTACACACCTTGTTTTCTCAAGTGCAAATTCCAAGTGCAGCGTATCAGGTCACCGACATCTCGATTCGATTCAGCTTTCTCTGTCAGTGCGCTTGGGCGCATGAAACCACTTCACAGTCTCATTAAAACTATGAAGTGGTTTAGTCCGCCCAAATATCTGTTGTACTTCCCTCGTTAAAATAACTTTGCAACATTTCAGAACGTCTTGGCTATTTATCTGCGCTTCCAAGTGATAGGTCACGGACCATTTCTTGAGATCATCGCGATCGTATCTTTTCCTATTTGCCAAGCATCGACCCACAAGCAAAGTGGATATAGCCATCAAAAACAGTTTTTTATTCTCAGCACTAAGTAGGATCTTCTCCCTTCATTATGATAAAAATGGGACATTATAACCAATAGGATCGTCATATAAGGATCATAAAACTTTTAGGCTAAAAGTAAAACTGAGACGAAATCGAAAATTGCCCCTCGTTCTTGGTTTAAGGCTTGGATTTTGCAGCTTATTAATTAAGATTGATCATGGCAATCCAAATATGTGCTTACCAGTACGGATGGTAGGGAAGGGAACCATGACTCTTTTTGTACATTCCTGTGGGCAACCTCGGCAGTGCAGCCGAGTTGCGGCGTGCTGAAACATTGGATGGAGGCGCCCTCTTTTCTTCCTTCCAGTCTGTTCAGCGAGCAGTGCTAGGGTGGAATGCGTGGATCGCATACCATTGACACGGTACAGAGCCCCCTCATTAGCCGCACCCACTACCTCCTTATACACTTTTATATTTGATAATATCTGACGTATCTGTGGCGCTAATATCCCTCAGTCCATCGCCTCAATAATACATTGGTCGAGGTCCTCGACCGTGACTCAAGGACCCGCAGCGTACTATAGACTGCTTAACCAAACAGGGAGCCACGGTACTACCGTAACGGTAGATACACTACCGCATCCCGTTTTTTTGGACCTCTGATAACTTTCTTGATATAATGCCCAAATAAATTGAAGTATCTCTGGATTCTCCTCTGAAACCTAATGTGTTTGCAAACCCTATACGATTCACCTCGCGAAAACAGGGTGCATTACTGTACTGACACACTTTTTCACAATCCTGCTTGCAATCCTCGCAAGAAAAGCCGCCCACATGTTTACGACGGATAAGGGGAACTTCGACTTTCCGTTGTCTAGTCGACTGTCAACATCGTATTCGTCCTCGAATTCCAGGATGGCGACTGTTGCCTCTTACTCAGTTGACAATTCGCTACGACCGGATCACCTCAAAGAGAACATGTCGAAGGAGCGGTTCAGTGTCAAGCCTTATCCGGATCTGCAGGTGTCAGAGGAAGAGCGCAAACAGTTGATCGACCTCGTCAGCGAGTTCGTGAAAGGCCATTTCCAGGAATATGAAGATTTCGTCATTGTGAACAAAAGTCAAGTGGATGAGAATCGATGGAAGCACGTCAAGTCCAAGGACAATCAGCACGTGTACGCTGAGCGTCCTCAATGTGACAATAGAGACAGAGACGCACGTGCCATGTCTTGGGATCCAGCCACTGCTGCCGCTGAAAAGAATTTACCAGTTGTTCTAAGTGTTGGAACGCTAGTGGGAGATGTCGACGACGTCATGTTCGGAGTGGTGAATCCCACCTTGGACGTCATGCGGATTAAAGCATCGTACGTACATGACCTCGACAGTGCTGCAGTGTTATGCTCCGTTGTGGAGCCAAGCGTGGACGAACCTTTTCGATCTCTGGTCATCAAGTGGATGACGATCGACTTGCCTCTACAGTCCACGAGTCTAGTAAAAAGTCGAGACTTTGTCTACATCGAGGCCACGGGGATCGTACATTTCGCTAATGGCGAGCGTGTCGGCTATCATTTGCTGCATTCGACAGATTTCCCGCAGACCAAACCTTTACCGAATATGATTCGTGGGAATCTTTCGGTGTTCGGCTTCTTCCGACAGATCGAGCAGAACACTATTGATATTTACGCGAGTGGTACAGTTGTTCCTGGAGGAAAGATCGCACGCTTTCTATCGATTCAAGTGGCTGCAGAAGCATTGCTATCTGCGACGAATTATGTGTATTGTGGCCAGATGAAGAAGTTATCGTGGATGTTGCAACACCGTCACTCGTCTTTCGAACGGCAAAACCAGACGCGAAGTGAGAATTGTGTTGTATGTGAACGCAAAGTGACGAAAGGGATCAGAGGTTTCATTGGCGCTAGTACGTGCAAATTGTGCTATGGCTGCGTGTGCTACTCGTGCAAGATCCGCAAACGCATCAGCTTCATTGCTTTGGATGGCCAGCTGATTCGACGAAAGATTTCGTTCTGTACGAAGTGTGTAAGTGAAGCGACCAAGTGGGATGCGAAAGAGGCGGCTAGAGATCAAGCTACAGGTTACCGAGCGTATAAAGCATTCTCGACGTCCTCGCAGTCGGATACCAGGAGTACAGAATCCTCGTCGTTCTTTGATTAGTGACGTAAGACAGATATGTGTGAAGACGTTAAATTATCCGGTATCCTTTTCTCGGTACTCATTCGTAGTCTCCGTTTTGGCCTGACCTTTAGCTTTAGAGGTGACTGTCAGAAGAAAAACAAAACTGCTAATCGTTGGTCGACCATATCTAGAGATCCTCGTCACCAAACCACTCGTGTTAGTAGAGTTCACTAAGTAGTACTAAACTTTTCAAGCAGGGTACAAACCAAGCAAGTTTACCTATATCTATTGAGAAAATACTTAATTCCTGGTAATCTCGTATCAAGGCAGCAATTACTCCTAAGTTCGCATGAGAAGACATGCTTGTCAATATCGCACATATACCCC